ACACTCATCCACACCCTCCCCAATGGACCACATATTACACACTCGCCCCCCAAAACACATCCCTTTTCCGGACGCTGAGCAGCAAACGGCGGTAGAACGGCGCAGGACAGCGACCATTATCGTACATCGTCACTCCGGGCCAATAAGCACATAAGCATAAAATGCCAGCCATGCCACCTCATGCCAAGCCTGGCTCCAAGTGGGCTCCATTCGGGCTCCGAAACCAGGGCCCCGGCGGAGCCAAGGTGACAATTATGGTTGACCTGAAATGACCTTTAGAACGAGCCTTGCCACTGTACCGTCAAGACCTCCCCCGTTCAGCCCTTGCTCCCAGACTATCGTATCGAGTCTTCATTTATTTGCGTTATACTCTTTCATCAGTAAAGGATCAAGCCGTACATGATACTGCTACTATCGTTGTCCAACCAGTCCCACGCAGGGGCAAACTTTTTACCTTTTAAATTCCGGTGCAAGACAAAGAACATCATCGTACATCGTCATCCCCTTGCAGGACGGAAAGCATTATCGTACAACGCCACCCTGGTGCAGGACAGGGAATATTTTTGTACATCGTTACCCCCTGTAGGACAAAGATCATTATCGTTTACAGTCACCCCGGCGCAGGACAGGGAACATTATCGTACATCTTCACTCCTTCGCACTGGAGAAAGCAAGGACTGATTGCACATCACCATCCTGGCGAAGAGTACAGACCATTAACGTACATCATCACCCCTTCCGTATTAGTGAATACAGTATCGTACATCATCAACCCTCCACACTATTGAAACCATTATCGTACATAGTTTCTCCGGCGCAGAACAGAGACCATTATCGAACATCATCACCCACTCGCAAGACAGAGACCATTGTTGTAGATTATCACACCGGTGCAGAGACCATTAACGTACCTTGTCACCCATTGTCACATTAGAGAAAACATTGTCGTACATCGTCACCTCAACGTTTGACAGACTGTTATCGTACATCGTCACCCCCGGCGCTTGACATAAACCATTATCGTACATTGTCACCCCGGCGCAGGACAGATTATCGTACATCAACTCTCCTGTGCTCCACTATTATCGTTTTCAGCGTCGGCGATCACGAGGCGAGAGACCTGGCTGGGGTGTCAATGGCCTGGAGGAATAACGATGTCCTGCGAGAGTTTTTATTTTGTTTAGGGGGGGAGGGGGGATTTATGGAAAGTTATTGGATTTGTCTAAGTATTGCTCTGTGATGTGGAATCTGTGGTGTCGCTTTTTTTGGATTTGTTTATTGTCTCGCTCTCTTTTCTCTCGCTTTCTTACCTTCCCTCCATCTCTCTCTCTCTTTCTCTCTCCTTGTCCCTCGTTCTTTTCCTCGTATTTCCCCCTCTTTTATTGATGTTTGTGTGTTGCCTTAGTGGTCGCCAGGGTGGTTAATTTCGTGGCCCTTTGTGGTGCGAAGACGACAGGCAATCAAAATAAATGTATTTTTAGAAAGAATTTAAACAAAAGAAAAATAAAGAATAAATGAAAATAAGAATAAATTGTATTGTAGATATAATGATATAATAAAAAAATAATATTCATCTCTTCAGTTTTTCTTCAAAGGATCATCGTTTATCCGTTATGCGAAGAGAAAGAAATATAAAAAGGAAAGAAATGAAGAAAAAAGATTGAGAGATAGATAATATATATATATATATATATATATATATATATATATATATATATATATATACACACACACACGCACACACACACGAAAGAGATAATTTAAACGAAAGAAAGAAAGAAATCATCTAAAATTTTAAAAAGTAATAATAAAATCTGAAATATATAACACCGCCATCAACTGATCGAACACGCGACTGGGTGCATCATACGTCGCCCAACAGCCAATCAGCACGAAGAATATCCTTGTATAACAATAATAGTAGGTTCTCCCCTGGGCGATTTCGTCTCAAAGTGCGCGCCAAAGTGGATGAAATGTGTCGTTTCCTTGTCCACGCCGCGCACGTGCCTGGGATATAAATGATTTTCTGAAGTGGCGGCGATGGGGAGCAAAATGTGGACGCTTGGGTGTCTGTCCCGTGAGAGAGAGAGAGGGGGGCGGAGAGAGGGAGGGAGGGAGGGAGGGAGGGAAGAAGAGAGAGAGAGAGAGAGAGAGAGAGAGAGAGAGAGAGAGAGAGAGAGAGAGAGAGAGAGAGAGAGAGAGACAGACAGACAGACAGACAGAAACAGAGAGAGGGAGATGGAGAGAGAGAGAGAGACAGAGACAGAGACAGACAGAGAGACAGAGACAGAGACAGAGAGAGAGAGAGAGAGAGAGAGAGAGAGAGAGAGAGACAGAGACAGGGACAGAGACAGAGACAGAGAAACAGAGATAGAGACAGAGAAACAGAGAGAGAGAAAGAGAGACAGAGAGGGAGAGGGAGAGAGAGAAAGAGAGAGAGAGAGAGAGAGAGAGCCGGTGTGTATATGTGTACGTATATGTTCGTGTTTACATGTGCTCG